TGTTCTCTTGCTTTTGTTTTTAAATATGTTTCTCCTGTGCCTACCCAAGGCAGTGGGCCGACACTGCTGTTTACTCTGCAGGTGAAGATGCTCTCGCTCCTTCTCTGCTGGCTGCCGCGTTGCTGCAGGAAGTAGGTTGCTGGAGCAGCTGTGGCTGTGCAGTGAGGTTCTCCTCGCTGCTCCTGCCCTCGCAGCCGCTCAGCGCGAGGACGGATTGGAGGGAGCTGGGCCGGGAGTGCTCCTTCTTCTCTCTCCACCGCCCTGCAGTGACAGCAGAGTGCCAGGCTGAGGCCCCTGGGCACCTCGCGGGGTTCTCGCCTCCGCAGCTGTCTGCTAAGTTTATAGGTGATTGTGCGAAAGTTTATTTCCTTATTTATATCTGTCATTATTTCAGAGAGGGAGGATCAGGCGGGTACCCTGCAGGAAATGAGAACTCTGTGTCCTTAGCTCAGTGAGGCCCCAGACAGGAAAGCATGAGGTAAACTCCAGGTACCCTGAGGTCTTTGGAGGAAAGATCCTAGTTTTACTAAATCTGTTAAGGTGAAAATAGTCAATGCTGGTATTTCACATTAATATTGGCATTCATGGAGAACGCAGGCATGCGGATTCCTTTTGGTTGAGCTTGCATATAACACACGACATCTGCTTAGCACGCGGAGATAATCCAGCTCTCCATCCACCAGCCCTGTAGCTTGTGTTCTGAAGGTGGTGAAGGAGGGCTCCAGTTTGAATGCTGGTGCAGTCCAGTTGTCCCTCTGGAGAGTAGTCAGCGGGAAGCAGTCCAGTCTTGTGGTGTGGTGTCCCGCAGGGTCCCTGCAAGCTTGCTCAGGGTCTGCTGGCCTCCCTGTGCGGAGGGGCCGTGGGCTGACGTGTGGCCCTGTCCGGCTGGGGCTGAAATCTTGGTTCTGGCCTAGGAGCGAGCGGCTCCAAGGAATCCACGGACGATCAGAGTATAAAGCCCATGGGATCCACCCGTGCACGCCCCCAGTCAGGGGAAACGTGATGGATAGCAAGGCACAGGGGGCACAGTGCCACACTGGAGGGCCTGCTGTGTGTCTCTGGGCACATTGGCTCCGCATTAGGGAACCAGTACCTGCACAGGACAGCGCTGCCCACGCCAGGTGCCTGTCTGGGTGGCCCTCAGCCGCCGTGAGCGGACAGCGCGGTGTGGGGGAGGGTGGCCCAGCTGGTGGGCACGCGTGTGTGTTTTTACACAGCTGAGGAGGCGACGCCCGACTTCTCCCCAGGGCAATGAATAAGAGAAGAGGGGCTGGCGGTGGGACAGTGACTCAGTCTGCTCCTGCAGAAGGAAACGGGAGCCGGGAGGAAGCACAGTACTGCAAGTCCCTGACTTGCGAACTCTCACAGGGGTGCTGGGTGAGACCATTCGCTGAGCTTGCAAAGGAATCTCACTCACAGACGGACACGCTTGTATGCTGGGCCTCGCTGCGCGTTTGACATTCCTTCCAGCCAAGTCAGCGTTTGCACCGTAGGCTCTGAGTTGTAGGAAACCGCGAGTCAGAGCGTTTGCTGCTTCCCAAGAGCTGGATTGCGAACGTGCAGCTTGTCGGGTGCAGAGCCATGGCGTGAACTGGGCATCACTGAATGTGTTTTATGCTTTACTTGTAAAAGATGCATGATGTAAAAAGTAATACATACCGCACAGTCCACGTGGGGAACAGATGTCTGCAGGAGGCTTGGTGGCCCCCTCGAGTGGCCTTCACCACCAGCAGTGTCGTCTGCTGTCCCTGCTCTCCCATCCTACACGGTGACGTAGTGACGGGGTTCCTTGTTAAACAGATGCTTGTACTCGGTAGGGTACTCTAGTATTTTCAGCGAAGGTGTTACACATGAAATGAAGTGCTTAGCTATTTAACGTTAGCGTATAGTAAATGTTTTCTCCCAGTCTGAGGGGCTGTGAGTGTAGATGGTGTTATTATGAGCAGAAATTTAGACTTTTGTTGAAGGTTAGTAATTCTTGTATGCCTCTTTTGTCTTGCTTAAGACTTTGCTCAAGATAGGATATTTTTACCATCTCTTCTAGAAGCATCGTGAGTCTCTTACAGTTAAGTTTGTGATTCATCTCAAAGGAGTTTCGAGATGTTTCCCGTGGCCCAAAATGCGGTCTGACCGTGTTCTCTCATTGTGCACTTCTGTCGAGTAGTTTTCTAACTGTCAAAGTTGGTTGGTAGTGTTGTCCACATTTTCTGCGTCCTTACTGGCTTATTATGGCCCTCTTTTTACAGCATGTATCTCTAATTTATCACTGTTGGCCTTCAAGTAGTGGCACACGGATTCACAGGTGGGCCCTGTGTAACGCCAAAATCCCTCCCACTAGAGCCTGCCTCGTTTGGGAAACGGAGCACGCGTCAGAGCTTACCTCGCAGCGGTGTGTTCTCCTGGGCGCTCTAGTGCTGGGCGTTTCCCTTCGATACCTGTCACAAACTTCACAGTACCGTCCTTATTTAATGCTTCCCTATGTTTTAAGAGAAGTCTTTGATATTTATTCACATATTTAGCACTTTTACTCTTTATTCCTTTCTATAGATCATGTTCTCTCATTGTGATTTTCCTTCTGGCTTAAGAATCCTTTTAATCTTTTTGATGTAGTTCTTCTGGTGATGTATTTTCTCAGCTTTTGTTTGTGAGAAATATTTTCATTTTACATAAAAGGTTTTTTTAAAGTTTTACCTTTAGCTGAGGATTTAGCTCAGTGGTTCTGCTGCCTGCCTTGCAAGTGCAAGATCCTGGGTTCGATCCCCGGTACAAAAAACAAAAGTTTAATTTTGATAGAGAAATAATAATTGCATAATTTTGGGGTGCGCTGTGGTGTTTCCATATGTGTGTACAGTCTCGTGGCACAGCATCACCTGGAGTGTTTCTTTTTTTGGTACCGGGGATTGAACTTGAGACCTTGCGTCTGGGAGGCAGGCAGCAGAACCCCTGAGCTACATCCCGGCCCTGTTTCTCATTTCTTTCTGGTGGCAAGGCCTAGAACCCGGCCCTCCACCTGTTCCGCAGTGCGCAGGGCACGGCTCTAGCCGTGGCCTGAGCTGTGAGCTGCTGATTGTGCTCCCTGCTCGGCTGCCACTTGGCCGCATCTTCCCTTCCCAGTCGGTCGCTTGCCGCCCTCCCACCGCTGTGTGCTTTGTGCCTTTGGCCCCTTGACCCCGCCTAAGTGGGCTCCTGTGTGTTTGAGTCTCTGTTCCTGGCTTACTCGTGGCGCATGCCACCCTCTGGATTCCCCCAGGTGACCCGGACCGACCGAGTTCTGGCCGGAGCGGCCGAGTAGCATCGCACTGTGCAGGACTCCAACTTCCGGTCTCCCGTCCCCTGGGGGTTGTAGACCTTGGCCCCGTGAGTGGCAGGTGGAAGCGTGGACTTCGGGTCCTCTGGGTAGGGGCCAGAGCAGGGCTGCTGGGTCATTCGGGATTCTAATTTCAGCTCTTTGAGGAGCGGCCACTCTGATTTCCCCGATGGCTGGACCTGTCCCTTTCCCCTCATCCTTGCTGGCAGGTATGGCTCATGTTTCTGTAGTGGCCACTCTAGTGGCCACGATGATAGCTCATTGTTTTAACTCGAGTTCTCTCATGACCAGAACTGCTGAGCGCTTTGTCCTGTGTGCGGTGGCCATCTGTGTTCATTTATTTATTTTTGGGAAATGTCTGTTCAGGTCCTTTGCCTGTGTTTTAATAGGGCTATTTGTCTTCCTCTTGAGTAGCCAGAGCTCCTCACGGAACTGCCTTGGCCACCTGTCCAGTGCATGAGCTATAGGTCTTTTCTCCAAGGCTGTGTGTTGTTTCTTTACTCTCTTAACCGTTTTCTTTGCTGTGCAGCAGATGTGATCCCACAGCCTATCTTTCCTTTTGTTGTCTGTGCTTTTGAGATCATGTCCAACAAATATCTGCTGTAACCAGCACTTTGTTCTAGTAGTTTTCTGATTTCAAACCCTAGTGTGAGTGTAACCCACAGGGAGCGATTCTTTGGGGTGAGTCTTGTCTCATGTGTGCTTCTCTGGTCACTCCTTCCTCTTCCTTCCCGTGTTTATAATAGTAGCCAGTTTAACATTTCCACTACATCTGTTAGCATTTCTGTTGATTGAATTTTCTTCAGAATCTATTCTGCTTTACACGCTTGATAATTAATTCGATGTCAGATACTATGAATTTTATATTTTTGGGTATTGAATTTTTCTTGTGTTCCTTCAAGCATTTTGAACGTTTTCTTAGACTTCTTTACATGGCCTGAAAACAGTTTGAGGCTGTTGAGGCTGAGTTTTACGCCCTGTCAGGATGACGTGGATGTACTAGTGAGGCAGTGTTCCTCTTAAAACTCTGGATGACCTTGTACTCAAGTGGACTTTCCACTCTGGAGTTGTTGTGTCTGCCCCTTATAACTTTAAAACTTTTATTCTTTTGGTACGTATTCCCAGATTATTTAGTATTTATTTTTGGTTCTGGAGGTTGAACCCATGGAATGCTAAGCTACATCCCGGCCCTTCATTTGTTTTTTAAAGTTTTGAGATGGCGTCTTGCTGAGTTGCTCAGGCTGGCCTCAAACTTAGAAGCCTCCTGCCTCAGCGTCACCAGTAGCTGGGATGACAGGTATGTGCCACCACACCTGGATCAATTTTTATTAAAATATATAGAGAATTATATTCTGCTAGAATATGTGGAGTATTGTGTTCTACTAGATCACTAGTGAATAACCAAGTCATTATTTTTATTATTTATTTATTTTTGGTACTGGGGATTGAACTCAGGACTTTGCACTTGCGAGGTAGACTGCGGCGCCGTTGAGGTAAATCCCCAGCCCCCAAGTCGTTATCTTTAATGGTTTTTTAATAATCCGAGTGTGACCACACCCTCAGGATGCTTAATTCAGCAAAGACAGATGATACAGTTTTGGTATCAAAGTGGTACTCCTGGTGGTTTTGAAAAAGCGCTACGCATACCAGGCATTGCCTTCAGTCTTCTCCTTGTTCTTTGCTCTCCCTCTAGGAAGAACGTGTTGTGAATCATATGGCAGCAAAGATTATTGAAAACGTGTGCACCACGTCCTCCGCACAGGCCCAGGGCTTCATCACAGGAGAGATCGGGCCTGCTCTGTGGCACCTGTTCAGACATGCCACTGTGGATTCTCTCCGGATAACGGCAGTGTCGGTAAGGCGGGCATGTGTGGGGCTATTGCTGGGTACATGTGGACACCAGGGTTGAAGAAATGTGCCAGAAAGAGGGTCAGTATAAGTGCACACACAGCTAGGAGTCAGAGATTTTGAAATAGTCATTGATGAGAGCGATGATGCGGATTTTCCTAAAGCAGGGGCTAGGAGACCTTGGGACAGTTGGGAAATCCCACTTAGACCTTGTAGGAAGGAATCATGGCATCGTGGTCTAAAGAGCTCTGGAGATGCCAGCAGCGGACACTGGTGGCACAGGGGACACAGGACCAGGTTGCTGTATTTCCGGTGTTCATAGCCTTCCCCATGAGCACCTCGTTCAGAGTGTGGGCTCAGTGGCTTTGTCCCTTTTGGCCCAGACAGACGTACCTGTCCGCGCCTCTTCTCTGCAGGCTATCCCTCCTGGCAGTGGTGAGCCCTGCCTTCTCCTGTCGCCCTGCCCTCCATCTCTCCAGATCTCCTCCTGGTTCCTTCTCGGGAACCTGACTGCAGTGGCCATTGTTGCTCTTCCCTCTGTCTTGAATCTCTCCTTTTCCACTAGATCCTTGTAGTCAAGATTCGCATAGTTTTTAATCTAAACCCCCCTCCCCCTGTAAAGAAAGCACAAACACAGCAGGCGGTGTGGGATGGCTGCCTTTCCTCCAAACACACTCTGTAAAAGTTCCTGCCGGACATTGTAGCTCTTCTTGCCCATTTCCTTTTCCTCCCCATGTGGCCCCCTGGGTCTCCTACAGCTGGTCCACTGAGGCCCTGCCGGCTTGCATGTGCCCGGAGGTGTGGGTGTTTATGGGTAGTTTTCAGTTCTTACACTGCCATATCCTAAAGACCAAGTACAAGAAGTGTCCTACCCCCTAAATACCCAACACACTTGCACACCCACACCCCATTTCAGCACCTGCATGTTGTCAAGATTATAGCAATTATACCTACTTGAGACATTACCAGTTGTGGAGCAGCCATCAGGAGTGACACAGTCCACCATTGACTTCCGCAGGGCTTTGAGGGGTTCATGCCATTTTCAGCCTTATGCCAGCCTGGTTTCTTTGCTTGGCAAAGTTGTCCCAGTGCCCCACCAAAGTCTCACCCTTTCCGGCTCTTCTGGCTGCTGCCTGACCCTGCAAAGCTGATGCCTTCATCCTGGGTTTCTTATACTTTCTTCTTGACATTCGTCTGGATCGTTAATTTCTTACTGAAATGTGGCCCTGGGGATTGAATCCGGGGACTTTGCACTGAGCCGGATCCCCAGCCCTTTTCATTACTTTTCATGTGGGGACAGAGCCTTGTTTGTTAAATTGCCCAGACTAGACTTGAACTTGTGACCCTCCTGCCTAGTCTCCCAGGGCTCTGCGTCACAGGTGTACAGCGCCAAGCCCAAATGTTCAGGGGTTTATGATGCGATTTGCCATCATACTCCACTGTCCATCATTCAGATTCCTCTTCCTAGGGGTCTGGGCTTTCCATCGGTGCCAGGGCTTCCTTCCCCTCCTGGCCCCAGAGCCCTCAGTGCTCGCGGTGCAGCTGTGCGCCAGGGCTCTGTGCTGGGGCCGCCAGCACTGCGGGCTGGAACAGGGTCGTGCGTGTGCATACAGACACTGAGGCCCCATCTAATCTGCTGTCTCAGTCTCTGGCCTTCCCTCCCACGTCTGCAAGCCGGTTCCATGGCTCCCGAGGGTTTGCTGAGCTGCCCACTTGGGTGATATACCCCACGCGGGCTGCCCCTGCGTCCCTCCATCCCTCCCACCTCCACTCTGCTCCCCTGCCCTCTTCTGGCCTCGGCACTCTGTGCGCTGTGGCCCCACCTTCTGGACACTGCCTTGTTGGCCCTGGGAGGAGGAGGGTCAAGGAAAGCCAGAGGTCAGAGGTCATCCTCATGCTTCCCTTTCCAAATGAGTCTCCCTTCCAGCTGCTGTCTGCCCGGCCTGCTCTGCACCTCCTCCTCCTCTGCGCCTCCTCCTCCTCTGCACCTCCTCCTCCTCCTCAGCGGCTGCTCCTCTGTGGCCCACACTGTCCCTGGCCAGAGTTGCTCCTTAATGGTCTCCCAGAGGCCAGTTTTCTGTTCTGCCGACTCCATTCTTTACCAGACAGAACTTCCTAAGGTTGTCCCTCCTGGTTTCAATCACTTTCCCATTTTATTCCCAGCAGGATCCAGTACTTCATCCAAAGCATTAGGTAGAAGCTGAGTACTGATGGGTGCTTTTAGTTTGGGGTAATATTTGATATTTAAACCATTAGTACATTTGCTTAGCAAATAAGTTATGTTAGTTTATTTTATTATAATGCCTGATTGTAAACTCCTTGAAATCTCAAACCACATTTTGTTCGTCTCTCAGCCTGGTGCCAGATTAGGACTTTTCCCGCTGAGACGGAGGGAGCTGCTGTCCCACATGGGAGCAGAGGGCAGGAGGTCAGGAGCATGGGACGCTGCCCTTAGCAGTGAGAGAGAAGAACAGGCCACAGAGGTCATGCTAGTCATGCAAACCAGAGCAGGAATGCAATGTGAGGGGGTTGTTCAGGGATGCTGAGCAGAGCAACTCCGACCTCAGAATTTAAGAAAATCACCTGTATTATACAGATTCCCCTGAAGATTTAGTCAGGATAAGGGTCATGGAAGCTGAGAGCCTGCATTCTAAAGACACCTCATGTGTGTTCCTCCCGGGAGCCTCCTCCTCCCACAGTGGCTTCTCTGTGTCTGGAGCTGAGGGCTCCTCCCCGCATGGCTCGGCCACCCTTCCCTGCTGTCCCCTCTCGTAGCACTTGGCCCTCTGAGCGCCCACGCCGCGCTTCTCTTCACGTCGTCTGGAGTGCTGAGGGCGAGCCTTCCGCAGCTGTCAGTGTGTGGGTTCCCACCAGTGGTCTAGATAGCAGCTCTCGGCCCTGGGCCCTCACCTGTGCCTGTCCACCTCTGTGCCCTGTCACTGGTGTACTGACCTGTGCTCTTCGTTTTTTGGGTCCCAACCCCGACCTGATCAGAATCTCTGGGGGGAAAGAGGCCCAGTGTTCTGCATTTTGGTAAGCTGAGAACAAGCACCAGTGTGGCCGGGGTCGGGGCACTGCCTGTCCGTGGTGCAGGAAGGACTTGGTTTGAAGGGAGTGGAAGTGGTGGGCTAGGCCTGAGCGGGGTGGTACGCTGAATGGGTGGATGAGGAAGATTGCTGGGTCGTGGAATTGAGGTGATCTCTGCAGGAGGCAGCGGGGCCGGGAGCCCTAGACTTGGGGAGTAGGGTGGCTCGTGCTGGAGTCCTGCCTGCAGGTGAACAGAGTCCAAGGGTGAAGAGGTCTGTGGGGTGGCGGATCCCACTGAGGCTTGGGCTTCTTCTCACTGAATTCGTGTTCCATATCTATTTCTGATGTTACTGCTGTCTTCTTACCAACACTTAGACACACCAGAGTTTAGATTTGAAGATCTCTGCTTTTGTATTTTCTAGACCGTCCTCCCTTGGAAGGGTGAAGAGTCTGAGGTGTTGCTGGAAAGAGCCTCTGAGCAGACTGTAGTTATTGATGGGCTGTATTCTGCTGCCGCTCTGAGTTCAAATCCCTGTTGCATGTTGGAAATGGGTGAACCATTTTTATAATTTTAAAACCAAATTTTATAAATGTCCCATGTAATTACCGAAAGGGAAATGAATTTACCTATGTGGCACTATGCAAATACTCAGGCCCTGCCACAGGGCCTTTAGTGCCTTATAACAGTTCTGCAGCACTCCGGTCCTGGGGGTGCCGGAACCAAGGCAGTGCGGGACCTCAGGCTCTGAGCGGCAGTCACTCCTTACTGCTGCAGTACCCAACCCCGTACACCACTCCACCCGCACACACTGGAGTGCTCTACGTGGTTCTCAGGCCTTGACTTACAAGGTGCTTTCTTCCGCCTCCTTTGCGCCCAGACTCTCGGATCGCCACCATTAGGACCCCCTCCTCCGCCCCACCTTCCAGTTCCGTAAAGCTGGACGGTCTCGACACGGGGCTTCTGAGATCATCCTCATGTGTCTGGACGGATGCTCTCAAGGGTCGCTCCTGCCCTGTGGTGAAGGTTCTGCAGTGTGTGGGTGACCCCCAGGTGTGAGCCCGGGGTGGGGGCACCGAGCACAGAGGGGCTATGGAGTGTCCCAGTGTGAAGCCCAGCCATGCCAGCTCTCGGTACAGTGTTTGGGGTTGATCACTTTGAGGGGAACCTGAGCCCTAGGAAAAGAAAAGAGCAAATGAAGCCGATGCCGTACTCCTCCTCCAGAACCTAAAAGCAGCTGGGAGGCTTTATGCCGGGTTCTGTGGGCTGGATTCTAGGTGTGGAGAAAAGCCCAGGGCTGTACCAGATGCTCAGAGGCCCCCAGGGCCAATGGGCCCTGAGACCCCCAAGGGGGGCCCTGACCTGAGCTTGCCCAGAGGCCACCTGCTCAGTCCTCTGTCCCAGAAAGGGAGCGGCTCTGGAGGACTGGCTTGGGCTAAGGGGTAGCTCAGCAGCCCAAGGAGATTTAAACAAAGAATTAGCCCCGGTGGCCAGCTTGCCATATGGCAATGACCTGACATTGAGTTTCAGCTTGTTGGCCTCCAAGGGCTCCCTCACGGTGAGCTGGCAAAGTACTAAGCCACACTACCAGAGGGGCCGGCCTTCTGACCACGCCCTGCCTGCCGCTAAAGCCAGCCACTTTTCTCTGAGCTAGACTCTGGCAAGTCTGGACAGTGATTGTGAACAGGTGGTGCTTGGGAATTCCCACTGAAATTCCACCAAGAGGAATTCCCACTGAAAAAAATCCAAGCTAAACTCTCTTTGGCAATAGAAGTTCACCGGAAAATAAAACTGATGAGGTGGGACGTGCCTCAGTGACCTGTCCTGCACCAGGGGGTGGAGCCACTGGCCTTGAGCAGGTGTTGGAACCCCGTGAAGGAAGCAGGCCCACTGCATACTGATTCTGAGCACGCCTTCCTGTCCTCCAGGCCCGTGCAGCCACTTGAGAAGGAAAGAAGTGCACTGCGGGGAACCACCCTCTCCACACTGGGCGGGAGGGAAGCCAGCAAATGGCTGGTCACCTGTTTTCTAGAAGGGGCTCGGCACAGTGGTGGTCTGTCCACACGACACTCCCTTGACCTGTGCACAGGCCCCTCCTGCCATCTGTTCTCCTGGGCCCCGGGACCTAAGGGCATCGTCTGTGGCACCTCTGTGTGTTCCTGCCTGCTAGCCTCCCGGATGGGCCTGCCACCTTCTGGCCAGTCGCAGTTCAGGTCGCACCGAGTCCCCTCACTAATAGGACTGGGGGTGATGGTGAGGACTGGTACAAGTCGGTGTCCTCTCCAGCTACTGACCTACTTTATCCACCTCTCTTGATCTCTCTGACAGATGACAACCTGACCTCACCCCAAACCAAACAGGTTCACCAGCCACAGTAGCTCTACAAAATCAGAGGCCTAGACCTCGTGTGTTCCTAAAAACAAAAATGCTGTTTTACGCCACCAGTCAAACAGTGAGAGACGCAGCACAAAAATCTAACTGACCATGCCTCCCAAATCTGCCCCAAATGCTGGGATTCTTAAATTAACTGGACTCTGATCTAGAAATGGTCCTCCTGGCGACTCCCTCTGGTGGCCTTCTGGATCATTCTTTTAGTCCTGCTTTTCAGCCCCTGCACTGTTAGTTAACCTCATGTTTCTTAGAGGCTCTAGAGCTTTCATTTCCAGATAACACTCCTGAAGAAGGCCAGTACCAAAACACTTCCCGGGACCACAGGGCTGACTGCCCAGGGAAAAAGCAGGGACGTCCCCTCCCAGCTGGAAGGAGCTGAACTGAATCCATGCCCAATACCCTGAAAAACCAGGAGCAGCTACTCCTTGCAGGGATTGGAGGAGGGTGTGCAGACCTGGGTGTGGGGGCATCTGGAGCTGTTGAGCTGTGCAAGCTGTTCTTTCTGCAAGTGGTCAAGAGTGGCTGGATAGGGGCTGGCCTTTTTTTCTTTATTTTTTTCTCTTCCAGTACTGGGAACTGAACTCAGGACCTTGCCCTTGACAGGCAGGTGTGGTGCCACTGAGCCAAATCCAGGGCCCACCTTTTTTCCCTGATAGTGGGAAGTGGGCCAAGGTATAAAAGGGCCTCAACCAATGAAAGGGGACCCTGAATAGAAAGGTGATCATAAACCACACGTGCACACACACACACACACCCCGGGACCCAGCAGGGTGCACACTGACTGCCTTGGTGTCCTTTCATTGGCCCTGACCTCATTACGCTTAGGGCCCCTGTGTACACATGCCATTGAGTACTAACAAATCATTAAAAATTCACAGTTCAAAGTAGGGCCGAGATGAATCATAAATGGGCAAAAAATACCCTAAAGAGCCTAAAAATCCAAAGCCAGACAACCTGGGTTCCTCACACTGTGGTGTCCTGGCTGGTTTGTGAGCCACGTCCTGCTGAGCAGTAATCGTCTCTGCTTTAATAACCGCATCCTCGCTTGCTGTGGTCTCTCACTGGTCATGCAGAGGTCCAGGCAATTTCTTCTCAGGTCACCAGAGTCAAAAAAGGACAGGTGACATTTCCATGGAATTAAGATATGCACAATGAGCCATTGGTGCGTAACTGAAATGTACTCCCTGTCCTTGCTTCCTCCCCACACTGTGCTGGCTGTCAGGAAGTCACCTCAGCACTGGCCTAGGGCTGGGAACAGGCTTCGCACCTAGTGGAAGCGTGCACTTTAAAGTGTTCTGTGGAAGGTGCGCTTTTACGCCAGTCAGCACTTGTTTCTTATTTTATCAGTAGGAGTAATTTTGAAAGGAAGTTCATTCTAAACAATTTTAATTGTTTTCTAAATATTTCAAGAACATAAAAAAATATTTTTCAAAGTTTTAAGAATTTTACCTCCCTTTTCCCTTCTTTTTTTTTGATACCAGGATTGTACTCAGGACCTTGCACTTGCAGGCAGGTGCAGTGCCACTGAGCTAAATCCCCGGCCCTCTTCCCTCATTTTTTCCTCTTGCCATATCTCTAGCAATAACTCTTCTTGTAATTTATGTTTTCGTTATCAAGGTTACAGACCAGGTTAAAGTATGAATCAGGGAGAAGGAACTTAGGTGACGTTAACTATGAGCAGGAACTGAGCAGTTTGGAGCAGCGCTGGGCTCTCACAGGTTGTTGAGAGAATTAAGTGAGGTAATTTTCAGATCCCTTAAGCATGTTCCTCCTACAGCGAGCAGTATTAATTTTAGGAACATGTTTTCTGCGCTTAGCTCAGTTTAATGTTTTCAGTTATGTAGAGTGGACTTCCTGTGTAGACTTATGAATTAGTTATCAGCTTAATAGTTACTGTCGTCCCGCGTTCATTTTCACTGCGGCAGGGTTGTTTAACTCTTCACTTTGCTGGGAATTTCTGCTTCCCGGTTGGTGGTTGAGTAAGAACGGAAGAGCTCCCAAGCAGAGGCGGTCCAGGGTCGGCCGGGTCATGTGGGGTGCCTGACACGTATGCTCCTGTCCCTGTCCTGCAGGCCCTGTGTCGAGTCTCCCGCCAGTGTCCTGCCGCCTTCCAGAGTGTGATTGAGAAGGTGGGACTACCCTCCGTGACCCACGCCCTGGCTGCTGCAGTCTGCAGGGTCCAGCAGTGCCTGCTGACCCTGTTCTCCACCCTGCTGTCCTGTGGGATCCACCTCCAGAGGCTGGCCCAAGACAAGGTGGGCTCCGGTGCACCGCTCCCTCTGCTATGGACATTGCTGTTCCCTCCTCCCGTGTTAGGGGCCCAACAGGCTACACATCACTGTAGCATTTCTTTTTCATCCCATGAGCCCTTTGTGAACTTCACCAAAGCACTGTACCACGGAACATTCACCCAAAGATCTTATGAGTCTCAGTGGCTAAAACAAATCCAGTTGAATGACCTCTGCCTGCTGGTCCCGTTTGGTAATGACAGTTGGCAGCGTTAGGAGTCCTTCCTGTGTGCAGCATTTCCTACCCCTACCCTCCTCTGACCGCCTGTTTTTCTTGGCCCCTTCCCTGCCTTGGCTTCCTCTGCCCCCTCTCATTCCTTTCCTTTCTCATACTCTGCCAGACCACATTACCTTGAGAGCCCCTTTCTGGTCATCCGTCCCACAGGCAGCTGGCTGGTCTGCACTGTGGTCTGTCCTGGCTGTGTGTGGCCTTTGTGGCCGTACATAGGTCCTGGAGCAGCCTTGCCCCCAAGTCTTCTCAGGCCTTGCTGGAGGGTGGTACCCAGGGCCCACCTCAGGCTGCTGCCTCTGTGAGATGTCTGGGCGATGCGTATGAACTTTACCTGTGTTAGTGTTTAGGGAGGTGTCAGCAGGTGCACAGAGCCGACCCTGTTCACAACTATGTCTGGAAAGCAGTTATTCAAAGAGGAATTTTCCATTGTGCAGGAATTTGCTGTTGATGGTGGTGCTGGGGACTGAACCCCAGACCTCACACGTCCCGGGTGCACACTCAGCCACTGAGCTCTCCTGGCCCTCAAGCCAGAGGCTGTGGACACATAGAGAATGAGAATCCTGGCTCTGCTCGGAAGTGCAGGGTGGGATGGTTTTATACAGCCCTCAGGGTGGCTCCTCTGTGTCAAATGCAGTGTGTTGAGTTTCGCTTTCTTGGCATAGTGAACATTTCATACTTCATTGACAACACGTTTACATAGCCAGCTTGACCCGCAGCTCCAGACAGGAGGACAGAAGAATTCCAGCCCTGCCGGGTTCTGATTTAGATTCTGCTAAGGAGCTTGTGCCTGAAGGTGTTTTTCAGCAATCTGTGTGTCTAGCTTTTGCTATTAAAATTTTCAATTTATTCTTGTATTAGAAAAATAACACTTGAGTAGTTTTACTGAATAAATTGGTAAGAGAGTTTTAGCGGAGTTGTTTTTTAAACCATCAGCATAGGTGTGGATTAAACTTCCAAGTATTTCAAAAAATCACTAAAGTAAGATGCATTTGTGTGGTTTTAATTGTTTTATAGTGTGCAACTATGATTTCATGTATCTTGAATGAATAAAGTTTAGTGTCTGGAATGCTAAATTATCTTTTGTTCTTGATTGATATTGGCATCCTAGAATTTTTTTTTAATTGTGGTAGGAAATGCATGAGCTTGGCTGCCTTTCCCATTGTAAGCATGCAGCCCAGTAGCACCCAGCATATTCACCTGGGGAGACGCAGCCCCCAAGACTTCTTCACCCTGTAAGACTGAAGCTGGGGACATTTTGGGTGGTGCTGGGCTAGGCTGAGTTGTTTTCATCTTCTGTGTCAGCAGCCCCCGACCCCATCCTGGCAGTGGAAGGAGGGCTTGGCCTCATTCCTGCAGGACTGGGAAGGGGTCCAGGCCCCAGTGGAGTTCTTGGGCCTGCGCTGGGGGAGGCCCCCCGGTGCTGCTGACAGCAGGCTGGTCACAGACTCCTCTGGGGGCTGCCTGCTCCTGGCTGCTGGGGGAAGTGCTCCACCTCCGCCCCAAGGAGCCTGGTCTGGGCAGCTGGGGTGGAGGGGCAGGGGAGGGGAAGCTGGTTCTTGCTGAATGTGGGGCATTAGCCCCAGTCTGGTCCATCCATACTGGTGCAGCGCAGGCAGGAGGACCCCTGTGCTGCTGGGTTGGAAAGAAAGCCCTGCACTGACCTGGCTTCCTGCTTGCTCATGCTCATGGTGCTGGGCAGGGAGGTGGTTTTTCATGTTGTTTCGCTGGAGCAGAGTAGCTGTCAACCAGAGGTTTTATCTTGCTAGGCTGTCCTTTACTTGACTCTGGTTTTCTGCGTGCGTGTGCGTGTGTATGTGTGTGAGTGTGCGTGTGTGCCCTTCTTGCTGTTACCATGTCTTGTAGACTACTGAACCCACTTTTCCGTGAAGCATGATAGCCTGACCAGCACAGCATAACGGCCTGCTGTCCGCCCATCTTCTCTTCCTTCTGGTCTGCAGTGTAGGTTTTTCACATCATGTCCAGGACCTGAGCTGTGCATGGTAGGAGTAGGGAGAAATGCATCTTCTCTCTTACCTTCTGGCGTTTAAAATGTGCCATTGACAGCCCAGTGATATACAGTGAACGTCCATTTAAAATGCAAAGTTCTACTTTTTATTAAGTAAAAACTTGCTGTTTATTGGCTGCTTACTGAGGGCCGCATGCTTAATGTTTTGTGGCTGTCCCTAGCAATGAGGTTCAGGGTGTCGAGTCACTCCGTCTACTCCTGGTGGGTAGAAGTGCTGGGTGCAAAGCTTACCTCTGACAGGGCAGGCAGTAAAGGAGGGAACGGGGTTCTTCCAGAGGACTGAGTGAGTAGCACGCAGGGAGTTGGAGAGCCCCAGGAGGAGATGCGTTTGGCTTTAGGGGTGGGAGGAGCTTGTGCAGTGTGGATTGGCGGGAGCTCTGTGGTTCAGCCTGGCCTCCGCGAGGTGTGTGAGGTCCGGGCCCTCCCCAAGGATCTGGAAATCCCACAGAAACAGTGCAGGCTGGGGAGAGGCTGTGTGGGAGGAAGGCTGAGCCCGGTGGTCACTGTTTCATTTCCACTGGAAAAAGAGAAGGTGCACTCCTTCGTCTGCAGCTGTATATGAGGAGCTTGCTGCTTGCTCTGTGTGGTTTCCTTCTGTGTGTGATTCCAGAGGCAGGAACCTAGGACAGACACAGCTTTCTGTTTCCTGTTGCTCAGGAAGAAAGATTTGTGTGTGTGCCTTTTATAGAGACCAGGGTCTGTCTATTATCATCTTTTTAATTAAAATTTAGTACCCCCAAAGGTCTATTTCCTTGTTTTTATTTTTATTTTTTAGCAGTGACAAAGTTTATTTGAAAAGTGTGTGAGGAATGAGGGCGAAATTGGCTCTGCAGAGTGAGCTTGGGCTGACTAAAACAGGACAAAGCAAGATAAAAGGGCACCCTGAGAAAGCAGGGCGGGCTGTCCTGAGGAGCTGGCCCGTTCCCCTCTTTAAATATATAAAAACAAAATTATTATTTACTGCATTAAACTTAGAAAAGCAGAAATCAGAATTGGCTGTAATCTCACTACCCAGAGATAATTGTAATTGACACATTGCTTCATCATTTTTTTTTGCATGTGCATGTCTGCTTTACAGAGCTCAGACACGTTGCTTGGTCATATTGTAATGGCATGCGTTATGTCCGTCATGCCAAGGAAGCTGAGCTGTGGGCCGATGGGCTGGGGACAGAGGGAGCGGTGGTGACAGCAGCTCTCTGTGGTTTTACTTCTGCAGTTTCAGATGGCTGCTGTAAGCCGTGGTCTGAAGATAGTAAATGGAAAATTCTATGTTTTGAGAGACTCTGTATTCACATAGGCTTTATTGCAATCCCGTGGTACCCCAGTTCATGAACTTGGTTCCAAGTAAGAGGAGAACTGATTCAAATTCAGTAGTTAGGTTCATTGCTGACCCTAGGGGGAAATTTGATTCGGTTCTCATCCTGTTTGGTTTGCAGCCGGAATTGTGGAGAGAACTGAGTTCATGATCTGAGGTACCACTGTGTACTGTTGTAGACCATTCTACTTTATTGCTGGTTATTACTGATCTTTTACTCTGCCTAACTGATGTAGGCCTCGGTAATGTTCAGCCTTCCCGGCATCTGTGGGGGCACTCGGGACCCATGGTGCCCTTGGATGAGGAGGGGTGGCCATGCCTTTTCACAGTTTCCATGCTTGAGTGATGGAACGGGAGGCTTCTGGGAAGAAAACCCTGTGCAGGTTAGGAGTGAGTTTTATTTGCTAGTATTTGCCTCCTAAGCTCTTTTCTTCCCTAGTTTACTTTGTAGTTGTATTTCTATGGTTCTTTCAAGCTTCTTATGTATTCTGCAAATCCTCAGTCACGGAGACTTGGGACTGAAGGAGTTTGGGAGCTCACAGATGTTTCTTGCTGTTCATTGGGGACTGCATGAGAAGGTCACTACAGTTTTTGCTAATTATAATACATTGGTTCTTTGGTTCATAAACCTAATTCTTTCCATGTTTCTGGTCATAGAATCTGGTTGCAACCAGTATCATGGAATGAATTCTGTGAACAGAATCATGGAAAGAATTAAGTTCATGAACCAAGTTACCACTGTATCTAAAAAATTAAAGTAGCATATTTTTATCAGGTTATATTTATAGCTTTTAGAAATTTTAAAATTTATATATTTAGTATAGAAAATTCAGAAAATTTTTAATATATCGTACAGAGGGCTGAAGTACAGTGCTTACCTCTATGAGGTAATGTCTGTTGAATTCTAACATGCTTTCAAGTTCATATTTGCTGTGTCCACACTCACACATATGTCCATACTCTCACACACACACACCCTTCGCTGCTGCCACGCACATGGGCCGTTCATCTTTCTGCAGAAACTGGATCAGCTGCATGCTGTTTGGGACACATCGTCACCCCATCCCGGGAAGGTGTGGTAACTCACTGCAGCTTCCCCAGGGGAAATGTGCGAGATCCTTTGTTGTGGACATTCTTAGGGTGAGCTTTTAAATAAAATTGCTAGATTAGTTTCCTATTTCACAAAAGTCTCCTTTTCCTTTGTAGCTTCTATTTAATGCTGTGGTTTTATATCTGTCGACAAATAGCTACAGTCCTAGTAAAAAAGCATTATAACATTGTACCCTGAATATATATCTTTCACATATATCAAAATATTTTGGTTTAGGGCTTAATTAAATCTATGATTATAATTCATTCAGTTTACTTTTCTATTTTCAAAATTTTCTGCCAAG